GGTCTCAGGGTAGTGAGATCAAGCCCCACCTAGGGCTCTATGCTGGGCTTGGAGCCTGCTTAAGATTCCTGCTCACTCACTTTCTCTCTCTCAAAACCCAAAACTTGTTTCTAATATGAAACTGGAAGCTAGTAATTAAATTAGGACCGTACTGGTGCCTGAGCATATGTGTATGTATGGGATAGAATAGCCAGAAACAGGTCTTAAGTAAATGAAATATTTGCTAAATTATTCTGGAATTTTTACTTACTTGGGGGATTGAAAAGAATTAGATCTTTGCCAAAGCAAGTTCTAGACACATTCAGATATTTTTTTTTTAAGTCAAACTTGAATAAAGTTTGTGTCTGTATTGTTTCGGAGTTAATAGAGAAGTCTGTTGAGAGAAAGGATTTGCAATAAAAATGACGGAGTAATATCCCTACTACTAGCAATTTGGTAAGGTTTAACACAATGCATTAAAAAGGCTAATACTCTGGGTTGCTTGGCTGCCTCAGTCAGTAGAGCATGTGACTCTCGATCTCAGAGTCATGGGTTCCAGCCCCCACTTTGGGATTAGAGATGACTTAAATAAACTTAAAAAAATACTACTTAACCTAGTAGTTGTTGTACAGAAATAAATGTAGACTAAAAAGTTTTATACAAAGTACAAGTTATAGAATTATTAATAACTGCAAAAATATAGAGAATAAAAAGGATTTCAAGCAGTAAAGGAGTGGTAAAATTTGTTGATTTGCTATGTGCACATACTTTTGGGTGCATATAGCATACTATATGCATATATATACTATACATACAGTATATGCACATAGCATATACTACACAGTATTACTAAATTTTTCACCCTTTATTCATTTTATCAAACTAACCCCCCCAAAAATCAGCATCTTACTACTTTTGAATTAGATTTCAGTGATCTGAATCTTGAGTCTGTAAGAATATCAAAAGTATATTATGAGCAAATGAAATTTCTACTACAAATATAAGGATGGTTTAGTATTTGAAAAATTATTCATATAATTAATTTATTAGCAGGCCAAATGGAGGGGGAGTAATAGTACAGTAAATATGAATTTAATGATAAATCGAGTAAAGTAAGGGTGCCTGAGTGGCTCAGTTGTTAAGTGTCTGCCTTCAGCTCAGGTTGTGATCCCGGGGTCCTGGGATCGAGTCCCTCATTGGGCTCCCTGCTCATCGGGGAGTCTGCTTCTCCCTTTGCCTCTGCCTCTCTCTCTCTCTCTGTCTCTCATGAATAAATAAATAAAGTCTTTTTTTAAAAATCTAGTAAAATACCTATGACTTTTTTTTTAAGATTTTATTTAGAGAGAGCGAGCAGGAGGAGGAGCAGAGGGAGAGGGAAAGAGAACCTCAAGCAGACTCTGTGTGCTGAGTGTGGATAGGGCTCGATCTGATGACCTGAGCAGAAACCAAAAGTTGGACGCTTAACTGACTGAGCCTCCCAGGCACCCCACCTATGATTCTTTTTTTTACATCTTTCTGCAAAATAGTTGCCAGTTATGCTTAATGGTGAAAACTATTTACATTAAACCTTAAAATGCACTATCAAGTACACCAAAATTAATACTATATACTAAATTATACTTCAATAAAAAATAATAAATTTTTTAAATGGGTTATCAGATTATCCCACTCTTACATTATTTAACAGTGTCTAGAATTATTTTCTTACATGTTAAAAAATTACATGTATAGGGGCACCTGGATAGCTCACTTGGTTAAGCAGCCAGCTCTTGATTTCAGCTCAGGTCATGATCTCAGGGTCCTGGAATCAAGCCCTCAGTTGGGATCAAGCCCTCATTTGGGCTCTGCACTCAGCGGGGAGTCTGCTTGAGGATTCTCTCGCTCTCAAATAAATAAGTAAATCTTAAACAAAAAACAAACATGCGGGCGCCTGGGTGGCTCAGTTGGTTAAGCAACTGCCTTCGGCTCAGGTCATGATCCTGGAGTCCCTGGATCGAGTCCTGCATCGGGCTCTCTGCTCGGCAGGGAGCCTGCTTCTCCCTCTGACCCTCCCCCCTCTCATGTGCTCTCTCTCTCTCATTCTGTCTGTCTCAAATAAATAAATAAAATCTTTAAAAACAAACAAACAAACATGCAGATGATAACACAGAGGGAGAAGAAATACGTGTAATACACAGTGATAACAAAATCTAGAGAACATGGGGGAGTACCCCAAATTAGAAATGTGATGAATCGGGGTGCCTGAGTTGGCTTAGTTGGTTAAGCATCTGCCTTCGGCACAGGACATGATCTCAAGGTCTTGGGATGGAGCCCCAAGTCTGGCTCCCTGCTCAGCAGGGAGTCTGCTTGTCCCTCTGCCCCTCCCTTGCTCTTGCTCACTCGTTCTCTCACTCTCTCATAAATAAATGAGAGAGAGAGGGAAAGAAAAAAGAAAAGAAAGAAAAGAAAGAGGGCGCCTGGGTGGCTCAGTTGGTTAGGCGTCTGCCTTCAGCTCGGGTCATGATCCCACGGTCCTGGGATCGAGTTCCGCATCAGGCTCCTTGCTCAGTGGGGAGTCTGTTTCTCCCTCTCCCACTCCCCCTGCTTGTGCTCTCTTTCTCTGTCAAGTAAATAAATAAAATCTTTAAAAAAAAAAAAAAAAGAACAAAAGAAAGAAATGTGACAGATCTATATGAAGATGGATAAATAAAGGCATGAGTAGCTGAAAGATTGTGCCGTGGTGCTGAGTGAGAATTCTTCCTCAGTTACTCATGAATTTAATACGATACCAATCAAAATTCTGACTTTGTTTGGTCGGGGAGAGTACTGTCAGCATGGTGAATGATTTCAACAGTTCACTGACAGGAACAAGTATGCTAGAATAGCCAAAATATTTTGGACAGCTAGAGTAGAATAAGTGGAATTACCCAAAAGTTTTACTAAAACGGATGTCAATATTAATGCCATTTAGACAGCAGGTGTACAAAACTAAACCCAGTTTGTGTAAGACTCTAATAGGATAAATGTCATATTTCAGATCATTGGAGAAATTATAATTCTATAATTCTAAAAGATTTTGGAAGATGTACTGTTTGGCATGGGAAAAGGTAGATAATTACTACCTTCTACTGAAGTATGTTTTGAGTTAAATATGGAGATAAAGGGAAAATAGGCCAGTATATATTTTTTTTAAGATTTTATTTATTTGTCAGAGAAAGAGAGCACAAGCAATGGGACCTGCAGGCAGAGGGAGAAGCAAGCTCCCCGCTGAGCAAGGAGCCCGATGCAGGACTCGATCACAGGACCCTGGGATCAGGACCTGAGCAGACGCCCAACCAACTGAGCCACCCAGGCGCTCCTTGATGGGTCTTGCTTTCTTACCCAATCTGATATATTTTAATAATGATTGAGAATGTAAATGAGGGGCACCTGGGTAGCTCAGTCGGTTAAGCGTCTGCCTTCCACTCAGGTCATGATCCTGGAGTCCTGAGATCCAGGGCCGAGTTGGGCTCCCTCCTCAGCGGGGAGCCTGCTTCTCCCTCTCCTTCCTGCTTGTGCTCTCTGTCACTATCTCTGTCGCTGTCTTTGTCTCTGTCTCTCAAATAAATAAAATCTTAAAAAAAAATAGAATGTAAGTGAAACTAAATTACCTAGTCTTTATCTCTGCACATCAAATTCCTCATCTTTAAAATGGATTTATAGAGTTGTTCATATTAAATCTCATAATTCACATAAAGAACATAGAATAGTGTCTGGTATATAATAAGCACTTAAAAGCATAATTACTTTTTTTAAGATTTTATTTTTAAGTAATCTCTACAGCCAGTGTGGGGCTCGAACTCAGGACTCTAAGAGTTGCAAAGCATAATTATTTTTTACGAACACATAGCAGTATGATCACCTCTGTTGAGATTCTTAAACTTATATTAAACATGTTTTACATACGTTTTCTCATCCTCACAAATTTGTAAATCCCCTTAAATAGAATATATGGTGACCTTCTCCCCTTACATACCTAATTCAGTGGTTTCCATATAGTAGGTATTAAGTAAATCAATCTCTTAACTGTAAATGAATAAAAGTAGATTTTTCCTCTGAGAAAGTGAGATAGGTGCTTTGACCTGAGTGGTCATTAAAATATATAGGGTAGTAATTTCCTTTATAAGTGGACCCAAGAAGTGTAGGATATTCCAATCAGAAAAAGAGTACCAGCCTCATTTTTGAAAATGGTTGGGAGAAATTTTTGTAAAAATCATTTCCTACTTTGAAGCACTCTAAAACTAGGGGCCAGATATATAGGTCAGGTAATCATGTGTAACTCTTTCCTACTAAAGCAGAACATTATAGAAAGAGCTGCCAAAAAATGGTAGAAATACATAAAAAGATAAAAGGAGTATGGAGTTAACATTCTAGAAACTTGAGCTGGTGATATGGAAATTACTTAGTAGAGGGTATTTTAACAAAGTGACACAGAACTGAGATTTTTAGAAATTCAATGTGAAAAATAAAAGAAGTTTATATTTTCCCCTGGACGAGATTAAATTCGTTCCAGAGATCAGTCATTAGCAGTGTCAGATTCATCTGGTGATTCTCTGGGCAATAGAGAATTTTGAGAATTACTTAAGTGCGACAAAGAATTCTTTGGCCTTTTGGTTTGATTGTGGGAGATAACAATGGGATGAGGCAGAAGAGGAATTAAGAGCCATTGTGGGCTAGAGATTAATGGCTTTACTACAGAGCCTCCCTTTAAACTGTGATTTCAATCTCTCATCCAAGCTTTGTATTTCACAGACTTGTTGAGCCCATTAAAGAAATGGAAGTCTCGCTATCTGATGGAACAGAATGTCACCAAGTTACTGCGGCCTCTTTCTCCAGTCACACCACCCCCTCCCAATCCAGGCTCAAAGAGCCCCTCCCTGACCACACCTGGCCCATCTCACCCAGAAGAGGAGTGTCGAAATGGATACAGCCTCATGTTCTCACCAGTCACGTCTCTTACTACTGCTAGTCGCTGCAATACTCCTCTGCAGTTTGAGGTGATTTGGGCTTGCTTGTTGGGAGTGCTGAATATGAAAATTATCATTTGCCCCTCCTCATTTCAAGTATAATATCATTCCAAATATTTATTGACCATGTTCCTGCCAGTCTCAGCAAGAGAATGGGAAACCTCAGCGTCGGTGTGACCTGTTACCTGGTAGCCTCTCATCTTCCCCCAAAGTCCCCATACTTCCCCAAAAAGGAATAGTTCTACCATGGATGACACTCATCTGTTTTTGCATGCAATCCATCAGTCTCCATAACTATAGAAAGCATGCTACATCTCCATCTTTGTCTTTACTGCATACCTTGGTTAAATAGGTCTCTAGCTGCCTAGTAACCACTAATGATACCAGCCTGAGAGCTCAGATTATACTGATTGATTTTCTTTCTAGGCCTTTAAATGAGTTATCTTTCTCTATTGTTTTGTATTCTTGTGGCCTCAGTGAACAGAGACTTAGAAAGCTTTGGGGTATGGTTTGTGGCAAATGAGGGGTTTTTTTCCTACTCCAGGTTACTTTCCCTTCTTGTTAAAATGTGTTAGGAATGAAACGTTAGAGGCTAACAACATGTATTGTAAGAGACATATTTATTACATTCACTGTCTGGATTAAGTTAGAATGTATTATCTTAGCTGTTAGAACAGTTAATTCTGAATCACATTCTCGTGTTCACATGTGGATAATAGCAGGTTTACTGAATAGAATCCTTGTGTATAAAAAAAAATCAATCTACTGCATGTTACTTTGATTTGCAATTCAGTAAACAGTCTCTTCCTTCTTAGAAGAAAGAAACTTATTCTGATCACTAAACACTTAGCTCTGCCCTTATCTTGTAACTTCTCCAGATGTGTTCTTTGATAAAGGTGAATGCTTTAGCCAATGCCTTCCTGCCTATTCAGCCCTTATGAAAGCATAGGGATTAAAAATACCAGAACTTTTGAGTGGCTGACTCAGAAGGAGGTAGCTAGCAACCTTGAACGCAGGAAACAGCTATGTTCTATACCTGAATAGACTGTACTAATTACTTTGGGAGCAAACCTCTTTGGCAAGGGGATGGTGGGGAAGCAGGGGGAAACTTTCTGGTTACATTTGACTTATAGAGAAGTTACCAAATTTGCTTTGGCATTCTTGTCAGCCATACAGTAAAGCAGCTGATTCAGGCCTTACTAACTTTACTTGGTCTAATTGCCTTGATTTTTCAGTTAGCAAGTAGAGTTCAATAGTAAAATTTCATAGGAGAATATTCACCCTGGAGGGCAGCAAATTGTAAGCATAGGATTTCATACTTTATCATTGCAGGTTTTACTATAATTAAAAAGGTGAAATTACAGAAATTAGAAGGTACATCACCTTCCAGGACAGTTAAATTGAGCATTCAGTGCATTTCCTAATCCCAGGTAGTATTTTGGATAATTGAAACATTGTGCAAGGGTAAGGTATTTTATTTATTTATTTTACAAATCAAAGATCAGTTTAATGATGTGCATAGTCTAAGCATAATGTTAGAATACTGGGAATAAAAGAAAATATTATATTAAATAGCTCATCCCTTCAAAAAGTCTAATGCCTCTATTTTCACTGTTCCAGTCTCGTGATTTAACTAAGGAAATTTAACCTTTCTTCTCAATAAAACAAACTTCACCATCCTGACCATCTTTATCACCATTTTAACTGACATGCTCTTTCCTATATTCTAGTATAGGAAGCCTTATTTCCATCCAAGACTATGACACAGAGAAATACCAAAAAGGTGTCACAGGTAAAGATCAGTTTGGTTGGGGAAGAATTTTTTTTTAAAGGAAAAATGAAAATCATCCCAGTGAAAAATGTCTCCAGTGCTAAGGGAAGGAGTTGAGGACACATGACAAGATCATGAGGGAGGGGGAAGCATCAAGGAAAAGGAGTAAAAAGCAACTTTGGGAGGGCAAGCTTAATTAACCCCTCCTTTACACCAGAATAACCCTTCCCTTTTCTTCCTGGCCCAGTGTCTACACACTACCCAGCCCACCAAATAAAATTAACAGCCTCATTTCACAGTTGTCCAGAGTCTCCAACATTAGGAACCCTTCCCTTCCCTTACCCCTAGTACTCTGAATCCTTGTCACAACCACCGCCATCTTTCTATCCACTTTTTACCATTCAGATCTTCCATCAGAGTTAACAGTCCAGATCCTGTTTGAGTGCTATGGGAGTGCTGCCTCATGTGAAAGCTCTAAGGGGAAGCCTGTTTAAGATGCAGGGACTTGAAATGTTCCCCTCTGCGGGCGCCTGGGTGGCTCAGTTGGTTAAGCGACTGCCTTCGGCTCAGGTCATGATCCTGGAGTCCCGGGATTGAGTCCCGCATCGGGCTCCCTGCTCGGCAGGGAGTCTGCTTCTCCCTCTGACCTCCCTCTCATGCTCTCTGTCTCTCATTCTCTCTCTCTCAAATAAATAAATAAAATCTTTAAAAAAAAAAAAAAATGTTCCCCTCTGCTCCCCACCCCACACTGCCCCACCCCATTCCCAGAAGTACAAGGGATTTTAATTTGAGAGAACATTGGTAGGTAGGGATGTTCAGATCCAGTTAGATTATGCCATAAACCATCTAGCCTATAAGCTAGATTTCATTCTGTCTCCTGTAACTGTTATTCAGGAGGAGCTGGCCATCTCCCTAGCCCCATCATCCCCAGCATGCTCAGCACTTTGCCTGGACAGTGGTGGCAAGCCTGAACCACTCAGGAGAATGGAGAAATAGGACTTTCAGAAGGAAGTGTGGGACAAAAAAAGATTCCCCTATGGAGGAATAAGTGGTAGGATACCCATCATTAATAAATACTATAGGCTGCTCAACTGTCATCAGATGTAGAACAGAATTTCAAATGAAATTATAGTGTACAGTTTCACCAATCTAAATTTTTTGTTAACTGCTTAAGATGTTTACGTACAGCATGAAACATTATAAACGGTTTATCCCTAAATGCTTTCAAGGACACCAGGAAGCATTTTTAACCAGTCATTCTGTCCATTGAGATGAATTCTGCAGTTAAACATTTTCCCTGTGCATTCTTTTCCCTCCCCCTGCCCCCACCACAAAAAGTTGTGGCTAACCATCTATGCTTGCTTTTTATTTTATTTTTTTGTTTGTTTTGTTTTGCTTCTTGACTTCGGATAGATGAATAACAAGATGCTTTTCCCTCCTCTAGAACATATCCTCCCCTGAGAGTTCCCCTGCGAATAGGCCCGAGTCCCTGTCACCCGAGGTAGTTATCACACCATCTCAATCACACTTGGAGGCTGAGAGTGAGTGTGCATGAGTGTGTGGGAGGGCTGGGGGGTCCGAATGAATGGGTAGTAGGCTGAAGAGCAACCAGTCAGTCGCTGTAAGTTGAATGAATCTTCCCATGTGTGACTGGATCACTCAGAACTTTCAATGTAGATGGAGGAAAATGAAGGGGTGTGTGTGTGTGTGTGTGTGTGGTGGGGTTTGTTGTTTGGGGGAGGGGGGCTGAAGAGTTCTTTTAAAGAATAGAATCTGGAAGTCAAGTTTAAAGCAAGCTGAAGATGTGGGAACCTTGGTAAAGAAAGTAACAACTAAGGTGTGTTTGTTAAATAAGGAAAACTGAAATCAAAAGTTGGTAGGAGCTCTTTTGATATTTATTATCTTGGGCTGAGAAAGGATCAGTTTATACTGGAAAAGTTAGGCAGTGATTTAGGTCTTGTTTCAGGGTTAATCTGACAGCTTGTTTTAACTGGATGTTTGGGGCTTTGGTTGATAGATTGAACAGCTTGTTTAGAAAAAGGAGGGTCCTGCCTCTCTGCTTTCTCCGTTTTCTTTGTAGCTCCTTACTGGGTATACAAGGAAATTAAGTCAGCCCATGGCTTCTATGACACAGGCCTTCCTTCTGTAGTAGTGGAGATGTGGTGGCAGACAAGTGGTATCTCTTAGGATGTCCAATTGAGTGTTTTTCTCAGGCACCCTACTGCTGTGGAGATGTAAAATTCAGATTTTAGTGCTAGAGTTTTTTAACTATTATAAGATTTGGACAAATGTAGTAATGATTAACTCTGAATCCACATGGAGCCTTTTTCCTCTTGAAGAGAAAGCTGTAGTCTCTCATAACCTTTCAGAAATTAAATGAACTGTTAACTCTACCCCTTTCCAGTTAAAAAATTAGTGCTAAACTTAGTGATAGTTGATAAAACTCTGAATCAGTATTTTATAGATCAGTGTGAAACGAAAAAGGTTGTATTCTAGTGCACTAGAGGTTTTCTGGGTGTTTTTTACTCTTGTAAGGAAATCATGGTGTGACATCTGGATTTTTGGTACCATTCTTTCTAGAGAGTCAGTAATAGTTGACCTAGTGGTGGAAAATCTTGGCGTTGGGAGGTAATGATAACCAAAGAGTAGATATGGTTTATTTTTGACACAATTCAGCATTTCTAATGCAGTGATGGGCATTAGTGGTCTTGAGGTATGTGGACATACATCAGAGGATAAAGAATTGAGTGGCCAGAAAGTTTTATGAGAAGCACACATACTTAATAGTGAAAGTGAGTAAAGAACTGGTTGGTTGATGTCTTTAACTAATACCATTTTCCTTTACTAAACCAGTAACTTAAATACTTGACTTTCTACTTACTACTCTCTTTCCCTTTTTCCCTCCTCCCACCTTCCATCAGTATTAAATACAAATGAATAACACCAGAAGCCAGTTATCTTAAGACACCAGTCTCACCTCTGTAGCATACATGGGGCTCAGGTAAATCCCTGATTATACTTCCAGTCCCTTAATGTCATACAAGGTGACTCAGCAAACCTGATGAAAGGCTAAGCAGGCAAAATAGTCACATTTAGCCAATTGTTTAATTCTGATTTTCCCAGACTTCTCATCCAGAAAACTTTAAAGCAATTTGTGAAAGGCCGGCATTCTGTAGTAATCTGGCCTGTATATACTATTGCTCCATGGGACTTTTACAGATGTTAATGGCTTTCTTGTACTTCCATCCTTCTTACCCCATCCCTCTTACCTTTCACCTGTGCCCCTCTCATTTCCCTTCCTTTCTGCGCTTTGACTTTTTCCTTCCCCCACCTCCTCCTCCATGTCTCTGTTGATTTTTATTCTTTCAGCTTTGTCACCGGAAAGACCTGGACTTGACAAAAGTAGGCTACCTTGACTCCAACACTAACAGCTGTGCTGACAGACCTTCCCTGATCAACTCAGGTCCTTCTGACCTGGCTCCTCATCCCTCTATCGGGCCCCCCTCTGAGACTGGCTTTCCAAGCAGGAGTGGAGATGGACATCAGACCCTTGCAAGGAACTCGGACCAGGCATTTCGGACAGAGTTTAACTTAATGTACGCCTACTCCCCATTGAACGCTATGCCTCGAGCAGATGGATTATATCGAGGGTCTCCCCTAGTAGGGGATAGGAAGCCTTTACATTTGGACGGGGGATATTGTTCCCCTGCAGAAGGGTTTCCCAGCAGATATGAACATGGTTTTATGAAAGACCTCTCTCGTGGATCCATGTCACCTGGTGGTGAAAGGGCTTGTGAAGGAGTCCCATCTGCCCCCCAGAACCCACCGCAGAGGAAAAAGGTAAGTGTTCTACCTTATATAGGCCCTTTTGAAGAATATTAACTAAGCAAGTCAGTAGATATTTATTGAGTGAACCACCATGTGTTCAGCACCATTTTCTGTGTGAGGAAAACAGAGACATAAGACGTGATCTCTGCCATGTCCTGTGAAAGCCAAGACTTTTGTTTTAAAGATTTTATTTATTTGAGAGACAGGGTGGGGGGGGCATGCACAAGGGGAGGGACAGAGGGAGAGGGAGAAGCAGACTCCCCACTGAGGAGGGAGCCAGACGCAGGGCTCAATCCTAGGGCTCTGGGATCATGACCTGAGCTAAAGGCAGACACTTAACCAACTGAGCCACCCAGGCGCCACTGTTTTGTTTTGTTTTGTTTTGTTTTTTTATTTATTTATTTTTTTTTAAGATTTATTTATTTATTTATTTGAGAGAGAGAGAATGAGAGACAGAGAGCACGAGAGGGAAGAGGGCAGAGGGAGAAGCAGACTCCTCGCCGAGCAGGGAGCCCGATGCGGGGCTCGATCCCGGGACTCCAGGATCTCGACCTGAGCCGAAGGCAGTCGCCCAACCAACTGAGCCACCCAGGCGTCCCTGTTTTGTTTTTTTAGACAAGACTGTTTTAATACAATTTGATGAATGTTACAAATTTTCAGCAAATTTAAATGCCTGCCATGTATGTGCTGTACACATGCTATGCAATCAAAGGATAGAACAATGAAAAAGAATAATGCTAATTGTATTATTTAGCACTTCCCATGTGTTAAGTGTTTTCTTAGCATTATATCCTCACAGTAATCCTGTAAGATGGGTAATTTCCCATTTTGCAGATGAAGAAACTAAGGCAAGTTGAGTGACTTGCCCATGGTCACATAGCTAGTAAATGGAAGAGCCAGGAAAGTGCCCAGGTCTGATTCCAGATTTCATGCTCTTACTGCCATTGTGCTATATATTGCTTCCTAAGTTCTGCCCTAATGGAGCTTAAAGCAAGTGAGACTGAGGTAAGCAGATAATTATATTAATAAGTAATTAATTACAGTGGCAGTGGATGCCCCAGAGGAGTTCTTCAGATGTAGTAAGAACACCTTAGCCACAACCTGGCCTGCTCATATATGTGGAGGGTACATTGAGAACAAACAAGAGGCTCCTAGCTAGTTGAGAGGTGGTGGAGTGAGAGATGACAGGTCACTCACTGATTTAGCTGATCTCATACGGTAAGTAGGAAGCAGTCTGCCAACAAACAAGGGTAAGGATGTTACGGAAGAGAGAGCAGAACTCTTAGCTGTGTGACACTCCATTGAGTGGGCAGCAGGGATGCAGTGTGGTTGCAAACAGCTGAATGCTGCTGTAGTATCTGGTGAAAGGTGGGGAGAGTCAGGAGGGGAGAGTATGGTAAGAGATGGTTGGAACAGGGCCAGGCCATAGATTGCTGGCCACAGGTTGGGACTTAACTTGTAAGTAATGCCTGTTCAAGAAATTACAAAGCCCAAAATGTGCTTTTTATGTCCGTGGGTTTCAACTAGGGGCATTTGAAAATGCATGGGAGTATTTTGGGTTGCCACGGCAACTTCCATTTATTGTGCAGGGCTAGAGATGTTAAATGTTCTGTGTGTGTGACAGTCTCACACAATTGCAGGATATCTGTAGTAGTCTCGTTGAAATGTAGCCTAGTGACTTTTGATATTTGCATTTCAATGAAATACATTACCAGAATTTATTATTATGAATTCTCGTCCAAGACTGCGTATGGAAAATGCATACACAAGATGGTACTACTTTATATTTTGGTTATATTTTACATTTGAACAGAAAAATGAGAGCTCTGAGGGAATAAAAGGCAGAAACACTGGCAGATAACTTGGAATAAGATAGCAGTGGGTTTAGAAGACTGTGTATGAACAGCATTGACCATCAGGAGCAAAAATTAAAATGTCTTTGGATTTCTGGTTTCATTTATTATGTACAACAGTGATTGAAATCATGATTTGTTATTTGAGAATTGTTGAGCACCTGCTGTCGGTCAGGTGCTGTGCTGGATTTTAAAGATGAAAAGCCAGAAAAATTTGGTCTTTGCCCTGGTAGAACATACAGTTTAGGGTGCCTGGGTGGCTCAGTTGGTTAAGCGACTGCCTTCGGCTCAGGTCATGATCCTGGAGTCCCTGGATCGAGTCCCGCATCG